CCGTTAAATCGTTCCTATAACCGACAGGACTAATAAACAAAGACATCGCTATGCGCTGATTTGTTTGTACCCTACAAACATAAGAGAAATATTGACAGTTTGAATAATATAGCCACTGAAACACGAAGTCACGCCGATTTTAATTTATACCAATCGATGATACAATATTTAATTATAATTATTATTATTCGGGGTAAGTGTTTCCGGTAGGTTTTCCTCAGGCATATTATTCAAACAATATTTGAAAATTGAAACAATTCATAATATGTTTCTGGGCCTGAAATTATTAGGGTTCTGCTACAATCCAATTTGCAATGGGCGCTGCTAAATTAACACCAACTGCTTCAGGCTATTTTATCTTGCAGGACACGGAGAACATATACTTTCAAATGTAATATCAAATTTTTAAGCAAGTCATCGACCTACGCAGAAAAATACTAAGGTGAAATGGGCTTCAATACTGTTAACAAGTGTTAAGGCAACTAGGGGTGTCATTTGTGGTATGCCATGGTGCACTTTGACACCGCCGTTTTTTTCGCGTCTTATTAATAAGTTATTATTGACCTGCCATTAATTTTACAAATTCTCCGAGAGCCGATGTATATAAAAGTTAAAATATGTGATGAAAAGCAAATAATGCGTTTATTCGTTTAATATAATATGTATTGGAGGCAGATGGAGCCATGGTGGTAATGTGTATTATTGGTATCTATGCATATGAAAAGAGCTAATTACAACATTCGATTTCTTTAATTCAATAAATGATTAAACATATAATCCCATACATGCACTATATACATATATCAAATACATGAAGATTACTATATGATAAAGAAACAGTGGCTGTCTATAACAGTTTATTGGAAATTGTTGAAAATTTCTCATTATTTGTTTTGCATGGGTTTATTTATACGAAATGTTGACGAAGTGACACTAACTTCACACTAAATCAGCAGCCCACTTTTTCCGAAAAATTTAAAAACCATCCAAAACTATTTATAAGTTATTAGTAATGTTGAAGATTTTTAGAAAGATCCCACTGTTTGTTGGTCCTCTGTTTATTTTATACAATTTTTTTTAAAAATTGAAACTTACTTTACGCCAAGACTGCAACCAACTACTTCTATACACATCAGTTTATTAAAAACAAACAAAAACAATTAATAGAAATAAATTATAAAGTCTTAGGTTATGAGCTGAGCGATAGTGCCTCCAGTGATATTAGTATATTACTATCGAATATTCTATAGGCGTGCGCACGGGGGTGCCGGGTGTGTCTGGGCACCTCACGACATATTGTAATAATAGAGCCCTAAAATTTAAGTCCCAGATAATTGGGGGCCAGGAGTTTAACTCATGTAACTAGAACAAAATGTAACTTTTTCTAAAATTTGTGGTAAAAAGTATATCATGAAATATTGTAAATTTGCGTGGAATAACTTATTATGATTATAACAGCTAGACGTTATTGACTACAAAGTATAAATAATAAATACCCTCCTCCCCCGGAAATTCAGGTCTGCCCACGCCTATGTGAATATTGCAGTACACACTACACACGATTGAAACAATAATTGTTCTGCTGGTTGTAGGGTTCACGTTTTGTATTCCGACCAAAATTCAATTGTACATCACATAAAAAAATAACACGTATATACGATTGTGATATTGACTATATATTTATCATTATATAAGTTAAATAATTTTAGTTTCAGTTTCAGTTTGTCTTTCAGTACCAGCTCACACATAAAGATATACAATTACCACTGTTAAATGGCCGAGCGGATTTGATGCGCTATATATATATATATATATATATTATATATATATATATAGGTATATATATAGTCAATAAATATATTATATATCTACCTATAGGTATACTGCTGCAGGTAATTGCGTCTTTTCCGTCACCGGAGAAAACATTTTTTCTCAAAACCCTCAGGGCTCTTCTTGCTACCGCCTGCTGCACCGACTCCTAACCCGAGTGGGGCGTGTATATAGCTGCTAGCTGCTGTGTAATGATGTTTATGGCGCGCGAAACAATATATTATAATAATAACCACCGGAATCCAATAATATAAGGACAATCTTCCTGCTGCATCTATATATATATATATATATATATATATATATGGTGATGTCAAATCCTATACATAACAATAAGGAAGTCGGCCCGGAGGCCATGTCGTGGGTACTATGGATGAGGAGGAGGAGGGATGGCCACGACATCAGCGCGGAATGAAGCTGTGTGGGGGGAGGGAGGAATCACGGGGAAGCGTTTAAAAACGTATCACGAGATCTCATAACATCTATCTATATATATTATATTATATATATATATATATATTATACGCCGTAAACGGCAAAATACAATATAGCGTATTTGCATAATGTGCCGGATTGGCCGCAAGGTTGATGAGATTCTGGCCAGGGACCTTGGAAACCACCTCGGGGATGGTGTCAGGGTATATGTTATAATAAAGTTGTGGAGTAGGCGTGTCAGGCGTCCGATGAGACGCGTACGGATGCAAAACATCCCGCGAGCAACTGCTCGACGTTTATATTGTTATGAGGTATTATTATTTATAACTTTCTATAGAAAATATATATATAATATATATATATATAATATTTATGTATATTTACTACTTTGTACAAGAGTACAAAAAAGTAAATATACACAGTAAATACACTAACCCCCGATTCCTTTCTATTCCCAATGAAACATTATTCACAAAAAGCCATAACTATACAGTATACATATATTATTCAAGTTTATTCAAACAAATTACTTACGTCTTATATACTAATAATTACCCTAACACCTCTTTCTAGCTACAGTTTTAAGTAATTCACTTCTATGTACATATTACTAATCACATGAACTGCAAATAAAATTTCTGTGGGTAAAATAGTTGTTATTCTTAAAATAATAAAATTGTACTTTCGTATCTTTAGTCTGTATAGGATATTTACCTAAAGTATAGATCAACTACTATAATTAATAGCAATTGAAAAAAGTTGGTAAGTGGACGTCGCTCTGCTGTACAGTAGGTTACAAGTGGGTCAATGTATAAAGGATTGTTTTAAACTTGAGTTCAATGATATATTATCATTGTATAAGAAACCTATTCTGAGCCGAGATGGTTTGTCAGTCTGGATATTTTATATTATTATTTATTATATCCTGTAAATTGAATTTATATTATAATAGGTATTAATATTTTTTATTCGTTTCTATGGTGATAAACAAAGCGTTAGAAATTAAAATCCTATTTTTAGCAGATTTTCGTAATTTTTCCGTGGCATTAAATAACTGTTGATAAAATTGAAAAATGACCTCTCTAAAGTACCATCTTGATCCAATTTTCTAAAAGATAAGGTACTATAATATGTTGAAATTGAAGCACTCCTTATGTAGATATTTTGTATACAGGATATAAAAAAAATAAAATAAAAAATAAACACCATTGTAAAACCACTAGCTTCGTCGCTTCGCTCAGAATCTAAAACGACGAACTTTAATAATATTATACATGATTTTTGATATAACAAAATATCAAAATAATTTCTTTGTTAAATGAAAAATGAACGAGTGCTTTACAATTTTGAAACAAAAAATAAATATAACACAAAGGAAAATTGCTCAATGTGGCGAAAAAAAACAGAAACAATAATTTGAACAAAAATAAGTTGCTCAATGTGGAGCAGAATAAATTAAAATGAAGATGATTGTAAAAAAAAGACATCAGTCAGGACGAGGCTATGGCCACTGGTCACCTCTACAGCGTTCTAGCGGCTGGTCCTGCGGAGCGCTCAAGAGTCGCGGGCGCGTTTGCTCGGGACGCGAAGATGACCATGGGAACGGGCGGAACCCAACATCGACGGCTGTGAGAGTAGCGAGGATTGGCGACGAGCGGCTAGTGCGCAATATCTTGCGCTTGACGGTACTGCTGCAGGACGTGCTGAAGACGACTATTGCGATGGCGACGAAGGACATGACGAAAGCTCTGAGTGAGTGACGAAGACTATTTTATTATATCGGTGCTGCTTTACCGGCGGCGACGACCGCGGAGGCGTTGTAACTCGGCCGGTGAGATTAGACCACTGGGCGAAAACCACGGAGAGAATCGGCGGACAGCACCACAACGCTCCACCGTTCTGATACTCTCCGTGGTTTTTGCCCTAGCCTGGCATCCCGTCGGCGCATCCGATGGCCTCACTACGCACCGCCGAATCCTGAAACGTTTCGTTTCCGCGGATCCAGCACTGCTGACATCCGTGTTCCTAGCCACCATATAATTTTATTAAAGTCATCCGTCATTCACCCGCTGTGAGCTCTGTGGTTTCCGTCACGAGTCGTCTTCGTGCAAAGCTGCAGCAGTCGTCACAGTGGTACCGTCGAGACGGCGTCGTCATCGTCGCTCACGCACCGAAGCAGCCGTGGCCTGCCACGTCTCCAGAACGTGAGTTGGCTACTTAGAGCCGATCACCCCAAAAAGTGCACTATCACGTATCTACCTCGACCCCACATCGCTTCGTCTTGTCTGCTGCCCTCGACCTGAGGAACGGATGTGTCGGGTTCTGCGAACGCTTTCTCATCGTTAGCAAGTAGCAACCTAAGCAAATGACCACACTCTGCCCGTTTAACTCCCCCCACGCGGCGGCCGAAAATCGCCTAATCCACCCGCTTGAAGTTACTATGCGAGGTTGCTGTTCTTACTCCCGGATCAAGCTCTCCATCCAGAACCTCAAACATGATCCTCTCATCTCCCGTGCCCTCGGTCGGAATTACGTAATCTACAACGACCTTGAAGTCACAGCTGATCACTATATTGTCTTCCCCTCACTGCAATACAACCTTTCTGTTTACGGATGCGTCTCCGGGCTGTACATGCGGCACGGATGATAACGTTTCCGACACCAAATGAACCATAGCGTCGACCAATTGATCGACGATGACGACCATCAGTCTATATTTGTCTATATCATCAGTGTCAGTGTCCAGTTGAAGATGGTCTCTGACCTCTGTAGCCAAATTCCATGGCTACGATATCCTGGAGCACCGACTGGACGGTCGTCTCGATTTGGAGGACGCTGGAATCCGACACTACTGCAGTGATGAGGTCTTCCAGCACCTCCTCGATGATGGTGTCGATGTTTTCGGAGTCATAGAAGTTTGATATAGTTATTAAGATTAGAGTCTTACCTATATAGTACGTGTGACGTCGAATAATAAATTGTGAATGAACAAACATTCAGATTTCGTTTTACGCCGTTGTCGAGCAAATCAATTATCTCCCAGACGACGGGTATAACGCGCGTAGCAGCGAGTACTAATCGTCCAGCATAATTATATGAATTTGGGAATGTCTATTTTTCTAAAGACCAACAACGATTTTTTTCCTTGAAACCAGATTTACAAATTGGCTTTTTTGAATTTTTCAAAAAAAGTTATATCAGAAATTTCAGTAACTATTATTAATTAAAAATACGTTGTACCTACTATACATGTAATGCAAGCATCTGTAAAAAATATAAAAAAAGTTTAAAAATATTGATAAGAAAAAAAGTTATTTTATTTGTCTGGTCTTCCTGTTAGATATAATATCATAATATATTAATAATATAAAAATTATTATTATTATTATTAATTATTCGTATAATATTTGTATAATATTTAAAAACAAGGTAGGCTGAAAACAAAATTAAAATACTATAATCAGCTGTTTATAGAAATGGATGCATTCGTCTCCAAAATCACGATTAATTCTTATAATATAGATATACAATTTTAATATTTAAATTGGCATTCCATTAGTTAATTTATTCTTACTATATTGTAGTATTTATATAGGTATACACAGAGTTTTACATTTTTGGACCTGAACACAATACCTGTTTGATAATACGAATTAAGAAGATCTAATATTTTATTTTATGACAAAACTCATTCATCCAAGAAAGTTTAAAAACAAAAGATACGACGGTTGATGACTATAGTCATAAATAAAAGGGCAGTATAGTTGAGTATTTTAATATTATATAAGAGGTCACTCGATTGTTAGTTGATATAGGTATTACCGAAACTAATTTGTACTATTCCTTAAAATATTCTTATTAGAATAGAAACTTATCTGTAATCTGAAATGTAATAAATTTAATTGGGAATTTCGTTTGATATTAATTTTTTGGTTTACTTAATTACAAAAGTATTTATTCAATTGATTTATATACTTTCATTTTATTTACTTGAGTTGAATATAATTATTCGTTGAACTATAGTTTTATTTAACTTTGATAAACTCTCAGCTTATAAATTGTTAAGCAAAAATGGCTTTTATTAAAATAGTTTTTTAATGATAATTAAAATGCAGTTCTTGTAAGCACCGTTTAATCTTAAAAAGGGACTAATAAAAATCCGTTAAACAGAAAATTGTTTCGGCACGTGACGCATAGGATTTAAAGGCGTTTTATGTATTCATCTCGAATTCTTTGTGTTAATATCATCCTGTTAAGCTTATCTTTAAATAAGAAAAATAATATTTTATGAATTTATTTTGTTAGTAGTCTTAACTTTTTTATGACTTTGAAATTCTCAGACTAAATCGACAATTTTTTATTTTTTATGTGCATCTAAAGTAAAGTTTCTTCATTCAACTTCTTTGGAAGAAACATTAAAGTAAATCTTTCAGTTTTAAAACAGTAAATCTTATTGACCTTGCAGTCCTACAACGCAAGATACAGTATTTTAATTGCTTGTAATGTACTCTGCTGTATAGTAGATTTCATGTATACCTCGCCATTTATCATTGAGTTACTATTATAATAGGTATGCTGCATTTGAATCAATGATAAATCATTACGATATACGAAACAACGATTCTTAACAAAGTGATCTATTTCTAAGAAATGTGTAATTATATTATACGCATGATAATAATATTATTATATTTATAATTTTATTAATTCGGTAGGCTGAACAAAAAGTCGCCAAAAATATCGAATAATATTATACCGACATTTTTATAAGTTAATACCTGCAAAAGTAATAAGTATCCATACCATTGGGCATTGAATAGTGTGAATAGGTTTATGGCAAAATACCTTAAAATAAGTCTACACGTATATGATTTTGAAATATTCTTTGTGTATAGACGTATAGTTAACAATAATATACATAATAATGATAAGTTTCAACTTTCAAGTTCTTAAGATTAATATAGTTTTTAATTACAACATAATAACTAAATTTGTTACTTTTCAATTAAATATCCAGTTTTGACGAAACTAAACTTAACTTCAAACTTCAAACTAAACTAAACTTAACTTCAAACTTCCCATAAAAACTATTTCTGGAGTTACTCTACGCTTTTTATCATAATTCCGGTTAATTCAAAATTGCCATGATTTTTTACTCACTAACAAACATATAATCTAAAATTAAAAAACTGTCTAGTGTGAATAAAATAAATATCACAAAATGTGATCACAATTTAAAATAAAAATTATATTGTATTGTATTAATAATATTAAACATTCATAATATTATACACATTAGTTATTCAAAAGTCTGTAGTTATTTAATAATTATGTCTTTTTAATTACAACAAAAGATGACAATCAAAAATATAATTTTAGCAAAATGTGTCTTGATATATTCAACATTTACCTGATATATTTTAGCACCGCATTTAATTTCTTAAACAAAAGCCGTAAATTTTCCACGAATCCGATTATCAAAAAATGATTCCGTTCTCGTGGATGTTAGTAATTTACGACGTTTTGCCGTATCACTATGGATTTATAATTCGAGCGGAAAAACGACACACGGGAGAGGTAGGTAACAACCATGGAGTGGTGAGTGAGCGAGTGAGCGAGAAATGAGAGAGTGAGAGAGATGCGATACATTTGCATAAGTGATATTCGTTGGTTTTAATTGGCGAAGAGATAACGCTGTTTATACGACCGTGTAAGAGACTTGTTCCTCAGAGTTTATCTCGTCAGATGAGGAAATTTACATAGGGACCTAAAAGACTGTCTTGGAAAAGGCACACGATGTCTTTTGATAGGGTGAATTTTACCATGGCTTTTATGATCGCGGCCCACGCCAAAAAGCCCCACTGCACCACTGCACCCTCTTGGGTTTCAATTTCGATTCCTTTTAGTAGTAATGACAAATTACAGCGGAGGTGAGAGGTTGTACGATACCGATTTTGAACGCGGCCGTTATATTATTTACATAATAATATATATGCCCTTTGCGACGTTTTTTAATTAATGTTAACTTTTCCATATAATATTATACGTTCGCTACAAAATAGTATAGTAAAATATATTTAATAAATTATGTAAAACAAATCAACTCAAGATTAAAATTAAATGTAGGAACAATTAAATCTCAAGAAAGACCATTATAATATTATATTATGTAGGTACCTGGTACCTATACTATACTACTATAGTGTATAATATTTCATATTGTTATGAGTTTATGACTTAAAAGTTTTATACGATATTATAATGTTGGTTTGATGTGGTAAAATCATATAATACCGTTTTGTTTCAATGTTAAACAGTTCCGGATATTGAGAAATCGACTATTATTATTTATTATCTTCATCGTATATTAAAGTTGTACGTTACATTATTATATATTTTTGTTTATTATAATGACGTTGTATAACTATAATATTATAGTTTAATATACTACCACACCATATCCGTTAATAGAAAAATTGTGTCCCTCTGTCACGTATAGGTATTATTGTTTTATTCATTATTATATAGTAATCATGTTTTGTAAAGAAAGATTTATATTTTAGAGATGAATATTATTTTAACCATATACCCTTTCTTATGGACTTTTTTTACAATTAGTTAATAACACAATGTTACAGTTGCAATATAACTTTCAGATAAATGTAAATTGTAATTTATCAACAAATAACAGAGATGTTTAACCATCGGAATAATGATGTATCACTGGTATACGCCTTATATTAATACAATAACTTTTATTATAGTTGTTATTAAGATGAGTATTCGATAGTAATATTGATTTAAGTAAACAAAAATAGATATAGGTAATTGGAAAATAAAAAACTAGTTAGATTATACTCGTATTATTACTAATTAGTTATTACTTTATTTTAGTTACTAGTAAGTAAGGCTGCGTGCATACAAAATTGACGAATAAATCAAATCACTTTATTAGCATTTTTGATATTCCTAATATATTATGAAATATTTATCATCTGCTAATTGCATTATAATAAAAATTCAATAAAATATATTATGGACGTAATATTGTGTGTTGAAAGCTTATTTATACGTCATGATTAATAGTACCTATATTGGTATACTTCTATATGTTCGTTATAGAAATACAAATAATTGTGAACAAATTTGCGCATCGCAAAAAAAAATGGTAAATAATGATGTAAATAATTTGAATTGCTTATGAAATACGTTATTTATTTACACCCGTATGACGACCGTATATACATATTTAAAGAACAAAATATTCAACTCGTCAATATATAATGAATCTAGTTTAGTCTGTTCCGTTTTATTATTATCATTTTTTTTTATATAGGTATATAGTATATACAAACACATTTTGTTTAAATTATTGTAAACGCAATCCAAAAAATTATTTCAGTCTAAACGACTCTCCCCACAAACCACCGTTGTATTGTAAATGGTGAATTTAATTTGTAATTTAAGCACTTTGTACGCATCCTATATTATTTTGTTTATAATAATTTTCCATCGTGGAGGGGTCTACGCTGCAGACACTCATAATGTATATGTGAGCAAACAATAGTTATGATTTGAATATATCACCTGGTCATAAATATTTTATATATTTTGTGCTTTTTTTTTACCACTTTGTGAAAAAAGTTTTCGATTAATGATCGCTGTTATTTTTTCTTTCACTAACACCGCCAAAAATATTTCCATAGCTACAGTCAGTTATTATTGTGTGAATAAAATATGAAGGTACCAATACTGTGTATGTGTGGCATTCGTCAATGCTGGGTTTTGAATAATCTGAAAAAATTGCTATCATTCAATTTTTGTTTATATAAACTTTTGTTAAGTCATAACTCGTAATAGAGAGATACTTTTTGGTTGCCATTTGAAATTAAAAAAAAGCTTCTCCACCCGCCGAGCTGCCAATTGGTTACACCAAAGACGTGGGCGAGACTTTTTTCGTACCGTTCCTTTTTTGGTCAAACCAAAAAGTTTAATA